ATCTCAAAAGAAGCAAAAGTGCTATCTTGTATGTTATAAAACTTGCATATCTAAAACTTGATAGTTTGAATGTTCTAAGCATGATGTAACACTTATTAAATTTTCTAGCTTCAAAACTGCATGATGATAAAACTATATATTATGTTTTTCATGCAATGAGTTGAACTTATATTCCAAACACAAGAATAGTTGGACTTCTCCTTTTTGTTGATGACAAAGGGGGAGAAGTATGATGTTATGTATAAGTTCATGATGACGTGTTGCAAGTATTCATGATGAATATTGCAATGACTTGAATTCAGTTTAAATTCAAGGTTCTATCAATATGGCATATTAATAGGGGGAGTTTGTTTAAACTTCGGGAGTTAAGTTTAACTCCGTCATCAATTGGTTGTCATCATAAAAAAGGGGAAGATTATTGAATCTCGTATTTTGATGATGAAACCAATTGATAATTGTATTTATGTTTTAATATGCGTTTTGAGTGATGCAAGATGCTTCGATCATGATGAGACAATTAAAGCAGGAAAAATCATGTTGGGCCGGAGGAACATGCCAGAAGATTGAGCGTCGAACCGGTGGATTGGCCGACGTATCGACAGAAGGCTTCGGGCCGTGGATTCGGGCATCGGGCCAAGAAGAGCGGGTATTGCACCAAGGATATCAGAGTTGCAAAGTCAACTGGCCGATTGAGCAATAGGCCGTAGGAGAGGACGATGTACCGAAGAATCGGACGAAGCGTCGAGGGACCAATGAGATGCCAAACAACTTGATTAATGCTTAGTATTAATTGTCTAGATCGAAGTTTTTTTTACATATGCAGGATTAACTGCGATGAAAGTAAGACATGCAATAGGAGTTACGCCGGAGTCAAGACTATGATCACATTGGGGGTCCGAGAGTTCGATGTAACTCTGGACGGTCGTCGAAGGTTCTGCGGGAACAAATCCGAGAAGTCCAGGAGCTTGCCAAAGAAGCTTGTCGGAACTCGCCAAGTGGATCATTGCAAGTCCAGGAGTTTGCCGGAAGTCCGTAGGAGCATCGCCGAAGGTTCGTCGGATGTTCGCCGGAAGAAGCGATTGACACACCAGAGCAAGTTGCAGTAAATGTCTTAAGAAATATCATAGTTAGCATGTAGATTAAGGTAGGAATGGGAGGTGATCCCATTAACTTAATCGGGGGACAAGTGGGCCCTTGATAGACCCAAATTGGGCCGAATGGATCAGCCCATTCGGACCCAGATTTCCTGGCCAACGGTGGCACCGCCCAGGTGCTCAGTCTCCCAGGAAAGCTAGGCGGTGCAATTGCCCAGGTCAAGCGATGGTACCGCTTGGGCTCAGTCTCCAAGCGAGACTGGGCAGTGGTACCGCCCTTGTTAGGTGGTGGTACCCGACAAGGGTGGTACTGCTTGAGCTCAGTCTCCGAGTGGTGGTAGTACGGCCCAATTATGGCGGTAGTACCGTCAAGACCCCGGAAATCTAGGAGATGACACATTTGAGCTCCAAATTCAAACCAATTGGGGCCTATATAAACCCCACCCTTTCCTGCATGAAAGGGCACCGAAAGCTTGATCTTACTATGTGATTTTAGAGCTTAAAAGTGTTGTAAAGGCCAAAAGTTCTCCTCCCTCTTTTCTTCCAAGTTTTGATCATTCAAGAGAGGAGTGAAAATTCTATAAGGGTTGTCTCCTAAGCCTGTCAAAAGGAGTGAAACTGTAAAAGGGTGGTTGACCTTCGCCTATTGAAAGAAGGCCTCTAATAGATGCCGGTGACCTCGTCGGAGGAGGAAGCCGAAAGTGGATGTAGGTCATGTTTGACCGAACCACTCTAAAATCTGGTTTGCATTTCCTTTGTGCTATTTATCTTAACTGCAAACTGCCTTCCTTACTTTACTTCAAATATGTTTCCGTAAGCTTTCAAAGTTATTATTTGCATGAAACGACTTTTACGTTGGAATCAGATTTCAACGTACGAATGCAGTTTTAATCGTCGAAAGTTTTTCGCTGCACTAATTCACCTCCCCCCCCTCTTAGTGCTCTTGATCCTAACAACATGGTGTCACTCTAGTTAAAATAGTGCACATATCTCAAAGCAGTGCGAAACAACACAAATAGACCTAGAAATAGTTGCGTCTTGAAGCGACGTAGTTTGACTCAAAAGCGATGCCACACTACAAGTTCGAAGCAACATACTACAAATCCGTGTCATCCGAAATCAAGTGATGCTTGCTAGTGAGGATATAACCCCGCAAGGCACGGGCTCGAAAGGATGGCTCCAGAATGATAAACTGCTCGTTGAAAATATTGGCAAATGCCAACAAGCATAGGGGGAGTCAACTCCCTACGAAATGTATAAAACCCACCTTCGGGTAGATGCTAAGGGACATAATTCATGATCCACAAAATCTGATTTAAGCTTCAGAGGGGTCAAGCTGGAACTCCCCTCTCCAACATTGACTTATTGTGCAGGGATTCAAGACTAAAAGCCTCTTGCAGATTCATTGGAGAATACCCTAGGAGACGACGATCACAACCCGTCGTCCCTTCTCCATGAAGCTTTCCTCCTGAGTAACCCTATGGATGACCTTATATAATCGGGATCAAACCTAGTTGTGCCCCTTCCCAAGCCACATAAGGAATCACAACCATAACCCTATTTAAATAAATAAATAAATAAATATATATATATATAAATTTTTTTATTTAAATTATTCTTATTTTTAAATCATAAAAATTATTTAAAATCTTATATTTGTAGATGAGCTAGTATCTACTAGATTTTGAGTTATTTATCTTAGTTATCGTATTTTTTAATAGACTTATATAGTATTTTGGTGTCTTCATCAAAATATGAATTATTAAAAAAAATATTATAACTGAAATAAACAAACTTAAAATATAAGAGAAACCAATTAATATAAAAATTATTATTTAGAAATAAAAATAAATATATAAGGGGACTATCATGATAGTTATAATGTTCTTGAATAGACTTATTGTAAAACATATTCAAGAACACTATAATTTAAGAATTGAATCCGCTTCACTCTATATACTAATCCAAAATCGATCGATCAGCTTCGTTTAAGAATCAGTCCATCGAAAGGGAAGCTACAGTTATATTATATCACGAGTATTCAGAATATAATGAAAAGATAACGTTGTAAAACGAGGTATCTTCCGAAAACACTAAAAATATGAGATTTTTCGATGATTATTCCCATTACAATCTTTTATCCAATACCCGACGAAAGCATCGTTGCTTCCGACGACTGGACTTACCGCCGTCAACGCCGGCCCTCCTCCTCTGGTGTAGGTGGGTCAGAGCCGTTCCCCGGTCTACAAGGCATCATTAGGAATCTTGAGCGCCACGTACTCACCGTTAAAAGTCCACCGTCACGTCCCTCTCATCAACAAATAAAAAGTCCCGCCCTATGTTGTTGGAGAATTGCTTATATATCCCTCTAAACTGTTAGTTTTCTATTTATCCTTTTAAATTTAACTTTAGCACATGCATAAATAATATCCATCTAGAATACTAAAACCCACAATAACTAGTTAATCTTTGTTAAATGATCTTTTTTTTTTAGCTGTCACTTGAAACTTTAATTCATACTAGTCATTTAAAAATTAATTGTGGAAATAACATTAAAAGAATATTATTAATGTATTATTTTAGATATCACAACTAGAGGTGTTCGAGATTTAATTTCCGAATGCAGATTAACGACATGGTTAGCGAAATTCTAATATTTAAAGGGTTATATGTGTCATAGCAAAATTTTAAAGGGCATAAAAAACTACTTTTATGCCAAACCCCAGTCTATATATATCCAAACACAAATAACTATCTATATATGTAAAACCCCCATTCTATATATCGACTTGACCAAACACGAATCACTCACTCGGTCGTCTCCATACAGCCGAGACCGAGGTCGAGGCGTTCTTCCTTCGTCTCCCTTCCACTCCCGCGGTATGGCCATCTATCCCTTCTTTTCTTTCGTTATTTTGTTGTTCTGTTTTGATTTCCTCCGTGGAAGTTCTGGATTCTGGCGAAAGAGCGGCGCAATTTGGTGTAGCTTTTGTGGGGTCTGAAATTTGTGTTTCTGGATTTGTATTCCTGAAGACTTGAACTTCTCTTTTTTCGCAATTTAATCGTTTCTTCTTTCTTTTTCTTCGCGTTAAGGAATTTATTTGATTTGATCAGTTTTTGGTATAAGGTTTCCATGTTTTTTTTATGTTGATTAGGGTTTCGATGTCATACTGGCCTTCGGCCGATCAGAAGCCGTTGAAGGGGAGTGCAGATTTGAGGTGTTTACTATTGGTTTGCAGGAGGATTCAAGTAGGAAATCTTTTGTGGTTAAGACGAAGGAAGAAGATGGGGGATCATGTGGTGTTGCACGTCAACCGGTTGTTAACACCCCAAACCATTGGCACGACAACAGGGGTAGATGGTTCGATGTCCTTTGCGGAAACTGCCTATTGTTTTGCACATACACATCCGTCTACTTCGATTGCCAGCTCTTGCAACGACCAGAAAGGGAAGGAGGAAAGCACGGTTGGAGAGGAAGATGAACCGTTAATTCAGATGGTAGATTGTCGCATATGCCAAGAGGAGGACAACATAAAAAACTTGGAGGCCCCTTGTGCTTGCAGCGGCAGCCTGAAGGTCTCTGCACATTTCGACAACTTTGCCTTGTTAGCATAAGTTCCTGGCTGTTCTGGAGACGCGAGCTGGCATCTTAATGCTCAATCATACAATTTAATGCTCAATCATACTGGTTCTTCAGAAACCAACTTTATGCATTTGAATTACGTGGGACTCTATGTTCTTCGAATTTTTTACATGTTCGTTAAGATGCCTGATATAATTGGATAAATCTTGGGTAAGGAGTCAAAGATTTCACTACTCTGGGAATTTATGTCTTTGAACTCTATTTCAAAGTTCTGTTAGCTGACTTGCTTTGTGTTTATTCTAAGATGGCTGATATAATTGGATAAATCATGGTAATGAGGCAAAGTTTTTCTGTTGTGGGAATTTGCTTCTTTAAAGTCTTCTCCATGTTCTGTTAGCTGACTTCCTTTGCGTTTATCCTAGATGTGTTATATGCTTTGGCATGACGACTAATTCTGATATGTTGCTTGAGGAGGGTGGAATTACTTCTAGTTTTGTAATTGTTTCATGTTGTGAATAGGTTATGAACTTCTCCTTTATTGAATATAGAAATGTGCAGGCAAATTTATTTAATTCACCGGTAATCAAGTCATTTAAGTCTATTTGATACCTTATGGTAATTAGTTGGTTTATTTTGTATGTTAGTTTTTATGGCTATTGTTTTACGAGTTGCTTTCTACTTCATTCATAGCAAATATGATTGTTTATAATGTAGACTTGTTTGATTTGTTTGAGTAGAGTTTCTTTTCCTAACATGTTTTAGAAGTCCATTATTATAGTCCACAGTACACAGTGGTGATGTTGATCTTTCTCGACCTCTGTTTCGTACTAGTAGCCTTGCTGGTTCTTCTTCAGTTTAAGACACAAGGCTTGTTATGTCTGACGTTTTGTTCTGTTCTAAATCAGGGTTTTTTTTTTTTTAGTGGAGGACCTCTGAACAAAGTACTTTAACTAGCAGAACACATATAATGATGATTGCCTGAGGATAGATATAGAATTGTTGTACTTAAGGAGAAAGATAAAAGTAAGGACATCTGTGGGATGACTTCTGGCGTTACTGCAGATGGCTTGCTTTTAATTCGTACCAGACTGCTGGAATCTCAGAGACTCTGTACAAGTGTCTTTCTTTTTTTCTTTTTCATGTTTGTGCATTGTTTTTCATCAAAGAAGCTTCGAGTTTGTATTGCTTCAGACTAAGTCAGGAAAGTCTGGCTATCCTAATTTGATATGATAGATTAAAGAAACTCCATAATTTTTTTGGATATATGTTCTTTCCTATATTATAATTTTGACATCTGATTGTTAATATTGTGAGATAATTTGAGATTTAATAGTTGACTGAATCCTTGTTTTACATCATGGGAACTGTTTGATTTTTGGAAGAATCTGATGCAAATATCAAAGGATTGACTCAATTAGCTATGGACAAATCTAGCTCTTTATTTAGATTACTTCTGTAGATAATATAGCTGATGATTATACTTGCTTTCTTGGAGTATTATTTTCTTTTCTTAAGTTTTTTGCTGTTTTGTTTATTTCTAAGTTTGTTCTCACTTGGAATTTTGCTATGTGTAGTATGCTCATAGGGCATGTGTTCAGCGTTGGTGCAGCGAGAAGGGTGATATAACCTGTGAGATCTGCCGTGAGGTATGTCACATTTCTGGTTGTAGTTTATGGATGTTATTTTGTGTCTCTTGGACCAAAAGTACAAAAGGTTTTTCTTTTCTTTCTTTAACATGCTTAGGTATTCATTAGAAAGGGGCCTTCATATGTTTCATGTTTGTGATAGAATTCTACAGGCAACATAAGCTGTGTTTCTGCAGGCTTAATAATTTTATGAAACAAACTGATGAAAACTTGTATAAAGTCATCAAAGAGAACAGGATTTACAAAGTGATTGAGTTATTTACCTGCTATTTCCAAACATTATAAAGACAACTTGCTCTGTCCTGTTCTTTTTTCCTGGCCTTCAGCTGGTATAGGCTGAGTTGAAATGGGATGTGTTCTAATATAAGGAAGGGCCAAAGCTGAAGGGAAAACTGAGAAAGGCTTAAGCTGAAAAGAAAGTCAAGTCACCTGGATTTGGATTGTGAAATGTGGTGAATCGGTTCACCTTTAGTTGTTTCCAGTACAAAGACCAACTTAAAACTACATCCTGCCCCCAGACATTTTTTGTATTGTGAACTAGAGGTTATTTTGTATATAACATTTATTCAGGTCCTTATTTCATCTTGGGCATGCAGATGTATCTCAAGTTTCTGATGTTAAGTGATGATCTGATTTGACTAGAATGATATACTCCCATATCTGGTGTCACATTAAGGTTCTTCTAGGTGATCTGAGATTTGACTCTTAAAATAACCTCTTCTTGCTTGTGAGGGTAAGGCCATAAGGCTATGTACATTGACCACCCCTAGAACGCGTACTGATGAGATCCTTGTATGCTTTCATTCTTTTGTCTTTTGTATACCTGATATGTATGTTGATGCTTGGTCCTTCCTGTGATTGCAGCAATATAAGCCTGGGTACATTGCTCCACCACGAGTCCATTCTGATGAGACCATGATCAATGTCAAGTATGTCATGCTTGTAATTTGATCCATTGGCCAAGACTAAATTCTGGCAAGGAATTGTTTATTATGTCCAAATTCCTTATTCGGATTGTTTTTTTCCTTTCTGTTTGAACTGCGGCAGCAGTTGGGTCATTACAGGTTCGCAATTGAATTTGCATGACCCTCGAGTACTGGCAACGACAACATCACGGGGCCACTTAGTTGAAGCTGAATATGCTGAGTTGGCTACAGATTCTAGCGGTGCTGCTTGTTTCCGCTCTGCTGCTCTTATAGTATGCCCTTATCATGTATAGCATATTGAGCATCTGTTGCTTTACTTGTTTAATGACTACATTGTAAAATTTAGGCTTTCAATTGAAAATAAATTTATGGCTATCTTATATAACCTTTTTGTCAATTATTCTGTAAATGTAAACTATATTTGTTCCATAGGTAACTTTTACAAAATTATGTATGTTCTGCCAAAAATATAGTGTAGGATGGGACCTGTTTTGATTAATTTCTAATAATGATCTGTTATTATAGTCCATTAAATTTTCAAGTTTTTAATCTCAATAGCCACTTAAATGCCATACGTTTTTTCCTGCTTTCTTTTTTTCTTTTTTTTTATTGGGAAGAAAGGGTCATTATATTGTGTAGTCAACATTAAATCTTGAGATGCACCTGAGTTATATATGTAATAGCTTATTCTTTTTTGTTTTCGAAAAGGAACATATGTAGAGCATTGTTCAGAAACTCATGAGTTGGTCACTAGCATTGAAATTTCATTCTCTAGAGAGGACTTAAATCTTCATTGTTGATCAGAAATTAACTTTTGGTCAAACCATGCTTTTGTTGTATTGATCTTTGCATCAGTTTTTTTAAATTTCATTTTTCATTATTGTTTACTTCTTTTGAGATTACTTCCATCAGTCATCTGATGCCTGTGCAGATCTTTTATGAGCTCATACTAACATCTAATCTCTCAGTTGGCTTGAATTACAAATTATTGGTGTTCAAAACTATCCATAAGCTTGAGTGTTCTGCTTGTCTGCTTGTGAACCTAATGTTGTTCTTCTGAAATTTTGTAGTTGATGACTATTTTGTTGTTGAGGCATGCATTAATCATTACTAATTCTGATGGAGATGATGATTATGATGATGATGCTTCGACGTACTTTTCAGTAAGTGAAAAATAAAAAACAGTACCTTTTTTAAGCTCTAGCATGTTCCAAGACTCAAATGTTTAATTGGTTATTTTCAGCTTTTTTTGCTACGGGTAGTTGGAATTCTTTTGCCATGTTACATCATGGTATGGATCATAAGTATCTTGCAACAATGGAGGCAAAGACAGGTAAGCATCCTTTTAGAATTTTAAAATGCAGTCACATTTATAAACATATATGGTATATGATTTGATTTTCTTCTCAGTTGCCATTATTAGAGTTATAGAATTTAAAAGACCATAAAAGGTGAATTCTGGAGTCCTTTTCATTTTCTATGATTATTCTTTTGTAAGCAATAAGAAATATGGTGGTCACTGTGACCCTGAAGTTCCTGCTTATCATTTCATTGCCACACTAGATGAAGCTGGCACTTGCTAATCGAACCAAATCAGTGAGATACACATGGACAAGATTTGAATCAAGACAATCTAAATCAACCGGATCCCTGATGGTTTAAGACTTGGATCTGTTAGCAGTAACTGAATTTGTATCCATAAATTTGGTTTTGCTCCAAAATAAGTTGATAATGGTTTACATGTGACCCAGAGGAATCTGTCAGGGTTTCTCAAAGAAGTCAATCTGAATGGTCTTAGAATCAGGTGGTCAAGCAACACAGAATCAACTCCCTGAAACCAAACTACACTTGGAAGACTGCATTGATATACTGCTTATTTCTTTGGGTGCTACATGCTTGTTTCATTGTGCTGTGCTGTTAACTGTGACAAGGATTTGTTATTGATTTAAATCAACAATTGTTACACATATAGGAAGTTTGTAAATTGTCTATAGTATATTTTCCTCGGTAAAACTAGTGAAATATGGGATTATGTGTTATATGTCATCTGTTATCATTCTTTTGTTATTATCTATATATGCATCTGACTGTGTTATTTTCTATTCATATTCTCAGGAGGCAGCAGCCTTAGCAGCAACTCAAGTATCATTCAATCTGCAGTCTGGCCAATAAAGGAGCTTGCACTTGACATTAGCACCAGATTCACCTGCTACTCCCCCACAAGAGCCACAACAGTAGCATTTAATTTGGTTAATGTAGGCTTTAAGCTTGTTCCGAGATTTATTTTTGTTAGAACCAAGTAATTAAGTCATAGGTTACGGCATCAGCAGCAGAATATTGCTGCGCCAACGCACGGAAATGAATGCTGGCTTTTTCTGCTAGCTTTTTCTTGTACCTTCGCATCGATTTCTTCAGTTGTATGTAATTTCACCTTGGCTTATTAGAGGACTTACCTTATAAGACGTAATATTAGTGCCACTACATCGATAAAATATATGTAACGACATGTGCACGCACCGTATGAATCTTACAGGTATACACAGATCACTGATTTGAACCCATACGCTAACCAACACTTCAGCTTCGATATCATGTAGTTGCCACTTTTAAGTGCTGCCTCCCAACCAAAGATAAAATTTAGTCGTTACAAGGAGCTTTAAGAAATCTTTGAAATCTGCTTAAAAGATTACCATAATTTTGCAGTAGTAACAATCCTACAAAAGCGCAATAGTTACTTCACAAAGATATTGCCAGCTGAAAATACAAGCATGAAAAAGATAGTTCGAGCATAACAAACAATGAACGACTTGAAGGGGGATTCGTGACTGGGAATTTGTGTTAAATAAATCCAGAGCCTGCCTCTAAGATTCAACTGTTATATTGAAGCTCTCAGCATTAATCTTCATCGTGTGGAGATTTCCTCCTCGGTAATAGAAACTCGAAGCATTAATTGGCTCATTTAATCAGTGTCTAGCTCTTTGAGGCTTGTTTTTCTTTAGCCTTCTGGATCTTCAGAACTTTCTTGACAATCTTCTGCTCTTCAACCAGAAAAGCTCGGATAATCCTACAAAACCAGAAGAAGTAATGTCAAGATAAGAGCAATTTTGACAAAAATGGGGAGATAAAAACCAGGAATCATGATATTCAAAAGCATTTATTGCTAACCTTTCTCTTACAGCACTTCCAGATAAGACTCCACCATAAGCACGGTTCACTGTCCTCCTGTTTCTGGACAACCTAGACCTCTTGTACTGAGCAGGTCTTAGATGTGGTATCTGAGAGCACGAAACAAACATCAAATAAAGAAAAGCAACATTATGTAAGTTACTAGCTTTTTCCTTTTTGCCACAGATTCACACTAACTCAACAGATCGCAATCAAGCAAAGTCACAACATTTGTTCACATTATAGTCAAAACAAAGTTCATTGAGATTGCAGGAAAGCACAGATTACAACAAAATAAAAGTGGTCACAAGGGAATCAGAAACAAAACTAAAAAATTAATGTCACTTAATTACAATAAACAGGCTTAAGCCGCTGTTTGCTAACTGTTGCAACTACATACGCTAAAAAGACCTTTGTCGATGATGGGCTAAAATAACTGATTAATTGTGCAGCTAACATATACCATGGTACGGAAATATCTTATTTATTTGAAACAAATATCCTATTGATTTTACAAAATTTAACTCGATAAATGAGTAAATGATAAGAACTCTGCTGCTAATTAGTGATGCATCTTCACAGCTTCCAATTAGTTAAATATTAGCAGCATACATGAGGTAACATATCAGTCGAAAGCCAGAGCACCCGGCGTTTCACATTTTCTGCTCCACAAAAAATCCTACTCACCTTGTGTCATCCTACTACAAGGGCATTCATTATTGATACTTCGCACATTCCAAGTGTTGATTTGTCTAAAAGATTCTGATTGACTCTTTCAATATTTTAAATAGACATGTTAAGTTTAGATTGACTTTTTGTCCCATTTTCCTATTTTCAGAGTAATATTCTGTAATATTAAATAGGTATATGCATTCATCAAGCCTGGCCTGTTTTAGCTTGGTCCGAAGTCATTACTAATCTCAGTTGTAAACAGTTCTATTTCTGTAGAAGTCCAAGCTCAGTCACCTTTTACTTGAGATTAAACAGGTCTAGGTGTCCTTTTTGGTCAGGGTTTAAACTTAGGTCACATCTGTTTGAGATCCAGGTTTAATATAAATCTCCAGGTGATTAAAGTTTGTCATAGCGCAATGGACATCCATCAAGAGTCCTACAAAGGGTGGCCTCGCACATAATTTTCCCACCAGTGCACATGCACCATACAGACTATAAATTCAAGTCAATTAATAGCTCGACATATACAACAAATAATGTTGATACAGATTTTGAGACCAGGTATGAAGGGAAAGAACAGAATGGAAGATACTTGCAGGATAACAAAAAGAAACTGGAAGTCTGAAAGCTAGAAGTTTATCAAAATCATCAAAAACAGGCTACAATTCAAATCAAATAGCTAGTAAAAGATAATAATAGTATATTTGTACTGTTTGTTCTTACTTCTTTTCTCTAAAGTGAAAGGGCTCAAAACCTATAAATAAAAATTTTCTCTAGGGCTTTCAGTCATTTTTTTGGATGATTAAATGAAAACTTGCGGCATACATGACTTGGTTATCCCTTTTCATTCCTGGTCAAAAGAAAGATAAAGGAGGAGAGTTGCATTAGATAGCTTTGTCAAATCTTTACGAACATGGATCACTACCATTATCACTAAATCATAGGAAAAGACCAATGTAGCCAACCCCAAATAGTTGGGTCGCGTGGCCTTGTTGCTGTTAGGATCAGCGTCTACAATAAGCAGTCAACCCTATCAAATGAATTGATATCAAAGATAAATGCCTTCAATAGCAGGGATAGCTTTGGGGTATGCTAAAACAACTTGAAAGCTTTCATGATGTCATAATTATAGAAAAAAGCTCGACAAAATTTGGACCAAAAGACAAGATAGATTAGCAATGAAGTGAAACATGTCTCTTTTAATCGTAAAAGAATTTTGCAACAAAAGGAAACAAGAATACTATAAGCAAGCACAAACAGTAACATTCTTTTCAAGGTATTGGGAAAAAGATATGGCTAAATTCTGAATTGTAAGCCACATCTAAGAACATCAACAACATCATGTGTAAAGAAGATACCAAATTATAATGAACATTGGCATTTCCATTTAAACAGGAGTCCAGAACATCTTCCTGTTGTAAATTAGAATGCCTACAAGTGGTACTGTACTGAATACAAAACAAACAAAATGAATTGCATTCGTCCATTTAACTCGTTTGAACAGCGAGAAATCATCCAATGCTACAACAAGTAACAATTGCGAAACAGAAGTAAAAGGACAAATATGCCACTCCTGAGAGATAAATTTCGTCAGAGTTCAAAGCAAGGAAAAACATACTCCCTGGATCCTCTTGCCAGTCACAGGACATTTCGGCCCACTCGCCCTCTTGTTCGTGTACTGATACACAAGCTTCCCGCCTGCGCTTCCAGATCAACACCATTAGCAAGATCAGACAAAACGAATGGAACGGCAGAGAATCGGAAGCCGGAAAAGATCAGGCAAGCCAAAAAGCAGATGAGGGAGGCGAAGATGAGATATTTACCTGGGGTTTTGACAACCCTAGTCTGGTTCGATTTGGTGGCATAGCTATGCCTCTTCCGATACGTTAATCGCTGCACCATCTCGCCTTGTCCGCTTCTCCTTCCCTCTCCCCCTCCACCCTCTCTTCCAAACCACTAGGAGGATCGATGGAGGTGGCTATTTAAGGAGCCGTCCGCCGCCGAATATAGCAGAAAGATGACCTACATCCAACGAACTTAGTTTATTTGATCCGACGGTCGTCCTTTCTTTCTTCGTTACAAGCCTAACGAAGAGTGAGGCTGAGTTGACTTTGACCGATTTGCCTTCTACTTGTTTAGAATAGATTACTAGAAGTAATTATAATTTGCTACGAATAGCAAGATTTGATTCTCATTTTGTTTTGACAGATTGAAACCGAGATCTTCATCCATTTATAAGACGAACTCATGGAAATAGCTATCTTTTTATCTTTTTTCTTGGAAAAGGATTCTTTTTTTAATCTAAGATTTAGATTGCCCTTAATTTGATAACCAATCATATATCCATTTTCCATTTATAACCAATTGATTTAGCTACAATATTTTTACATTATATTATTATATTTTTCAGTAATATTATAAAAATATAATACAGAAGAAAAATATTTTTTATCACATTACAGTATTTTTAGTAATACAAGAAAAATATTGTAACGCAATAAAAAAAAAACTATGTTATGATCTTTATATATTTTATTGTTTTTCAGTGTTTTTATTACATTCTAATATTTTTCAAGTATTTCTGAAAATAAAAATATTATAACTAGACTGATCACCTTACAAATCGATCCACAGAAAAATAAATGAATAAATAAATAAATAAATAATGAGAGGTATTCTAGATATTTGATAATAAAAAATATATATATATTATTCTGAAAATCTATAAATGATCCGGAGAAAAGTCTAAAAAAAGAGGTTTTTCTCGAAAATTGACCCAACAAGTGAGGAGTTGATTAATTAATTTCTAAAATGACAAATGGAATTCAAGATTTAACTATTAACTATTAAGAGATAATTAACCTATTTTTTCCTTTAATAAAATTCTGAATTTTAGCATCAGCTGGGACACATGCATTACACAAAGGGCCAACATGCGAAGGCCGTCGACCTTGGTGTGTCGATCGTCAGTGATGGAGCTCCGCTTAGACCATGGCGGTGGTAGCTTCATCGTGAGTGAAGGACAGCTGGAGCCGAAGCAGGAGGAGTCCTCTTCCTTCTTCTCGGGGATCTGATGAGTCATATTCCTTGTTCCATGTTTGGGTCAAACCACTAATATCAGCTTTAAGGACTTTTTGAGTTATGAACTCATTTAGAAAACAAAGAAATACGAATGCACCGATTGTTGTAAGGATGACAGATGAAGGATCAACTCATGTATGGTGGTCATCGAGAGATGGAGCGTGAGAGATTGGTGTTTGGAGTTTGGCGGGACACCCAACACGGACTTCGATGCATGTGTTGGAACTTATGGAGGTCGTAGACATCAATGACTACGTATGCAAATGAGAGATGAGGAAACACTCGATACTATGAGACACTCTTTGAGTTCTAAGTTGATTTGAAGGAGAAGGAAGCAAGGATTAGCTAGTAGAGAGAAATAAAGATTTAGAAGCTTATAGTAGACCCACCAGAGAGAGAGAGGGTTACGACGAGGATAGCATTAGAAGATGAGAAAATAACTTGAAGAAACAAATATAAATTTTTATTTTTATTTTTTTTCCTTTTCCTTTGCGGCCTTCTCCTTTCCCTATGGGTCAACGATTTGACCGAAACTCTATATTTATTATTCTTTTATCATATAATCCATAGAGATAATAGTGTCCGTAGGTAGATTTCCTCCCCCAATCAAAACCCTAAGGATACTTCCTCTCGTAAAAAAATTAATTCCTTACCTTCTTTCATCGTATCCTTTCTTGATCCTTGTAAAAAAAAAAAAAAGGATTATGTACGAAGAACAACTCTAAGAGCTCCACTAACCTTAAGATCTTAAACCATAAATGAATAAAAAACTACGATAAAAAAATTTAAGGAATTTTTTAAAATACTTATAAGATCATAAATTCTGACTTGACTCTAAGAGTAAATTACTCTCAATTTGGGACTATACCTCCTCTATTTATAGCCGTAAGATGTTTATTTAAACTATGATAAAGTTATTTTATCTTATAATGTTTAGATCTATCTATTATTATTTAAACAATAGTATCTTACACAACCAAAAGCCGACAACTCTATCTTATCTACTTGGTACAAGATATTTGGGGGATGGGTTTTTCATGTCCTAACATAAAGGGTTGACATTTCCTAGCCCTTTCGCATCTATGATTCTCGTTCAGGTCAACAAAAATTCCTTCTCTCTTCACAGAATTGAATCCATGAGGCTCTTGCCCAAACCTTGATCATGAGAACATGGTTTTGTTTTCCTCTACTCCTTTTGAGCCAAGTCTTCCACTCTGACCTTTAGGAGATACGGTTTAGACACAAGCTTCAACGTTTCTAGAGAGGGGGGTGAGGTACATTCGATGATTAATGCATCTGCTCATGTCCATGGTTGCATCTTTCTTGAGCCACATTGGAGGAGACAACTACAGGTTGAAGAGAGCAATGCTTGGCCCTTAAACAAGAAATGGACATCAATAATGCTACCAATCTAGTGTTGGTGCATGAATAAGACCTACATGTATATGCCAGCATCACATATTATTCATATGGTAAAGCGATTGGTTGTGGTGGTAGGAAAAAAATAATCGAACTTGCCCGATGAAACATAAACTTGTAGACCCTAATGGTGCTCTCTTTTAAGTTGATAAATCTCAAAATTAAAAAAAAAACAAAAAACAAAAGAAGTGTCATTTTTATTGGAATGGAGAGAAGACTTTGAAATCAATAGAAAAATTATTAAAATTAGTAAATAAATAATATAAAAAGAAGTTTATAATATACTTTTCGACATTCTTGACTATAATCTATGAAGAAATCAAAAATTTTATTATATAAAAAATCAAATACAATGAGTACCTTGTAAGTATAAAATCATAATATGGTATATGTTATGTGAAAATCTTTAATATCAAAATTGAAATCAAATAACAATAAATCATGATCCATATCTTTTGATGTCATTTAGAAAGAACTTAATCAGATCTGTAGGGGCACTATCTTCGAATATGAAAAATCGTAGTGATGTCGATTTGCAAGGAGAACTAGACTCCCATTCTCTCTTCCTATCCTTTAAAAAAAAAATCATGATCAAGTTGGCACTAAGAGGGGGGGCGATGAATTAGTGTAGTGGATAAAAGTGTCAGTTTAAAAAAACTTCATACGATAAAAATCAATTTTGATGAAAATCATTTCGGAGAGATGTTAACTTGAAAGCGTTTTCATAAGGTAGTGAAAGTAGTAGGTAAGTTAAGTAGTTTGCAGTAAAGATAAATTGCTCAAATATAAATACAAACCATTTTATAGTAGTTCGATCGTCGTGACCTATATCGACTCCACTGATTCCTCATCCGTCGAGGCTACCGACATCTACTAATGATCTTCTTTCAATGAGCGAAGATCAACTACATTTTTACAACTCGATTCTCCTTTTGACATGTTCAGGAGAGAACCTTTACAACCCCCACTTACTCATCTCTTAAACTACACTAACACTTAGAGTTTTTAGAGGAGATCTCATAAGATTACTACGACGTTTTCCTTCTTTTTTGCTCTTAAATCTTGTATATATTAACCAGTGACGAGAGGGGTATTTATAGACCTCAAGTGGATTTAAACTTGGAGCATAAAAATGTCTCATCCCTGATTTTCGCGGTACTAGCGGTACTACCGCCTGCAACACTGACACTGGGCGGTACCACTGCCTAGTCTAGTAGTACCACCACCTGACACCCTACCATTGGGTGGTACCACCACCCAGTCTAGTGATACCATCGCCTGACAGTTTCTCGGAGACTATTTTTGGGCGATACCACCGCCTGACATAGTCTCGGAGACTATGTAATGACGGTTTCACCTGTTGGGTCACTGTTTGGGCCTTTTCTCTTGGGCCAACACAGTCCAAACATGGGTCTAATTGGTCCCTAATTGGGTTGACCTAATTCTAACATAATTATGTGCTAACTATGAATTTTAAGACATACACTAAGCTAAATAAGTCCGGTAAGTCTAGGTTTCTTTCGGCGAGCTTCCAGCGAACTTCCGATGATCTCTCGGCAATGTTCTAATAGACTCTCGATAAGCTCCTGAACTTCACAACAATCTTCTTGGCGAGTTCCGCCGAGCTTTTTTGGCAAGCTCCTGGACTTCTCGATCAATTCTGGTAGAACTTCCGACGAATATCCAAACTTCCGATGAACTCTTGAACTCCCAACGAAATCTCATTTTTGACTCTAGGACTTCATTTTGCTTTATGCCTTGATCACTATCATAGTTAATCCTGCACAATTAAAACCTACTTCGATTTAGACAATTATTATAAAGCTAATCAAATATTGTCTAGCATGTCATTGGTTCATCGACGCTTTATCCGAATCTTCGGCGCATCATCCTCTCTAGTGGCCTATTGCCCAATCAGCCAGTTGACCTCCGCAACTCTAATATCCTTAAGGTAATTTCCGCTCTTCTTGACCTGCTGCCCAAATTCATGGACCGAAGCCTTCTGCCGACACGTCGACCGATCCTTCGGCTCGACATCCAATCTTCTAACATGTTTCTGTTTGGCCTAATATGATTCTTCTTGCTTTAATTGTCTCTTCCTAATCAAAGCTTCCTACATCACTCAAAATGTAGATCAAATCATAAACGCTATCAATTGGTTTCATCATCAAAATTTGAGATTCAACAATCTCCCCCTCTTTGATGATGACAACCAATTGATGACGGAGTTAACCTTAACTCCCCCTATCAATATGTCATATTGATAGAACTATTGGATTCAAAAATCCAAGCAACATGTTATGATAAAATTATGCATAACATCATCATACAATTAAAGTAAGAAGAATTATGTTGGGCCGGAGAGAAACATGTTAGAAGATTAGACGTTGAGTTGAAGGATTGGTCGACGTGTGGGCAGAAGGCTTTGGTTCGAATCTGTTGAATCTTATATTTTGATG